GTGAAATATAGCCAGAAACTAACTGAAGGATGCAGGCCTTTGGAGACAAAAGTAGGAGCCTGGGTTTATTCTAGTTTCAAGTTTATTAGAAGGTTTAAATAAAGTAGCAGCAGCCCAACCTCCATTTTTAAAGCCAAAACCCTCGCTGCTATGTTGGTGTGAATTGTAACTTGTAACAGGGCAAATGTTGAAAAGAGAATTCAAGTGAGAAGTGGTATCCTTGGCTCTAGTTGAGGAAAGAGACTCAAATGGAATATAATTTGGTTTGGTCAGAGTCAAAAAGGCTAGCTGAGTAGAGATACATGGACTGAGGATAGGGTAGCTTTTTCAGTGTTGATATGAGCAACTGGGTAGTTTGTAGTTCCATTTAACTAGAAATAGTAGACTGCAAGAGGAACAGATTTGAAGGGACTAGAGAAAGCTAGGGAAATAAGAGTTCCTTTCTGGCTAATTTAAGCCTTAATAAGCTCTTAAACATCTAGTGGTAGGAATAATCAGAGCAGAAACAACTGAAGAGATGAGTCTGATTTTCAAAACAAACATCAGGGATATCACTGTAAATTAATGTCAGTAGCATATAGACAACAAATATGATTCCAGGAAATCCTGGAATCTGCCTGCAATGCAGGAGACCCCAGTTCAATTCCTGGATCAGGAAGATCCACTAGAGAAGGGATAGGTTACCCACTCCAGTATTCTGGCCTGGAGAATTCCATGGACTGTATAGTCTATGGGGTCATAAAGAGTCGGACCTGACTGAGTGACTTTCACTTTCAAAGTATAGATAATTCAAGCTATGGAATTGGATAAAATCACATAGAAAGAGGGTTTATACTGAGATGATAAGAGCCTGAGACCGACATTACTCCAAGTTTTAGAAATCAGACAAGAGAAAAGGAGGAGCCAGAAACGAAGATGGAAAAGTAGCAGCCAGTGAGCTAGAAGATCACTAAGGGAATTTGCTGACCCTAAAGATGACAGAAAGTATTTTAACTAAAGAGAAAACCAATCAAACATAAATAAGAGATTAAATAAGATAATCATGGAGAAATGGCCAGCGGATTTCATAAATGAAGATTAATGGGACCTTTGGAGAGTTCAAATTTTTAAGACATTATATCTGATGAAAGGAATGTGATGTACCACTTTTTCTATTTAAATTTCATAACCAGTCCAATGTAGAAAAAAAAATTAAGTGGAAAAGAGTGTTATCTAGACTATAACATTCAGCATGGAAATAGTGACTATAAATAAATGTAAAGAACAATGCCATGTGATATAAAGGACAAGTCGAATAGCCCTCATTACATCATCTGGCTTAAAATATTTTAAGCAATTAAAATAAATTTCTAATTTATTAGAAATTAAAGTAATTGCTAAATATTAGAATCCACTTTTGCAAGGCCAAAAGGTAATTTTTATATTCAGATATTCATAATGTCTGGGTTATTGAAGTCTTAAACCATGTATGTTTTAGCCATGAATTAGAGATGTGTGCATGCCTGCTAAGTCACTTCAGTCTTGTCCGATTCTTTGTGACCTGATGGACTATAACCTGCCAGGCTCCTCTGTCCGTGGGATTTCCAGGCAAGCATACTGGAGTGGATTGCCATGTCCTCCTCTAGGGGATCTTCACGACCCAGGATCGAACCCATGTCTCTTATGTGTCCTGCATTGGCAGGCGGGTTCTTTACCACTATTACCACCTAGGAAGTGCGAAGTAGAGATAGATTGGTTCAAAAAATCCCTTGACTGGAAGCTAAAAACTATTTGTAGAAGATGGAAATAACTTTCTGTGACTTACAACAATTCTTTTTTCTATTCCAAGGTATGGCGACATGGTACCAAAAACCATAGCAGGGAAGATTTTTGGTTCCATCTGTTCGCTGAGCGGAGTCTTGGTCATTGCTCTACCCGTCCCGGTGATCGTATCCAACTTCAGTCGGATCTACCACCAGAATCAACGGGCAGACAAACGAAGAGCACAGAAGGTGAGTATTCAGTTCCCTGCGACCATGATTTAGCATCTCCCACTCTGAAAAGTGAGCTTTAAAATCCCTTACTGGCTATTCAGTGTTCTGGTTTGGGTCGATAGTTGCATCAGTCAGCACAAGCTAAATTATACTACAGTAAAAAAGAACCTTAATATCTTAGTGACTTAAAAACAAGGAGTATTTCTTAATCATGCTACAGATTACTCTCGTGATAGAAATTCCATCTTAACAATGTACGTCTGCAGTCGTGCAAGCAGAGATAAAAGGACATGATGAATCACAGCCTGACTCCTAAAACTTCCTCTTGGAAGTGGGCCAAGTCACTTCCATCTCTATTGCATTAACTCAAGTAAGTCACATAGTCACGTGTAACTTAGAACTGGCAGAGCAAGATAATCCTACTATGCAACCATAGACAACAAGAAAGAAATATTTGGTGAATAGCACTAATGACAATAGTAAAATCAAAGATAGATTCTTGGCAAATTTTATTAGAATCAGATTTGTAGATCTGATTCATTTAGTCTCTGTCCATCAGAGATCAAGTTGGTTCCAGTAGGCTGGGGCTATTAAAGGGCACCAAAATATGTCTCAGATGTCCAACATAGTTGACACAGGAAGTAAGAGAAATCTGATCATTAGTAGCTGAGTTTTATTTTTGGCCCAGCACTTTACTGTTTCTCTGAACTTCACATCAATGACCTCATCCCTCTCAGAGGAAACAGGTTACATATGCATCTGTGAAATGGAGAAAACAACACCTACCTCACAATAAGATTAAGAGTACATGCAAATGTATATAAATCTATATAAGCATAATATAATACTATTTATTGGTGGCTTCCTATGTGCAAGGTATTGGCTGAATGTTTTAAAAGTCATGTAGTCTTTATAACAAATCTAGGAGTTACTTACTATCACTATTCGTACTCATAAGTGAGAATTCTAAATTACCCAAAATTTGAGAAATTCTAAGATTACACATCTAACAAATAGAAAATCTCTCCTTCAATCCAAGGCACCTGGCTCCCAGGTTCATACACTTAAACAGTATGATAGATGTCTCCCAAAAAAGTTAATTAAAGGTTAGCATATGTCCTCTCCCTATTCTTTGTTAAAATAATCACCTTGAGAGTCAGAGCCCTTGTTGGTTAGAAATAATTATGGAAATCTTTTATAGTTTCCTTAAGGCTATGGAGCTAGATTTCCAGGATTCTTCATGGATACTGTACCGTGTCCTTTAAGAATAGATTCATTTTTTTAAATATCCAAAAACTGTGACTAAAGTGGATGCACAATCTAGATAGTGTGGTATAGCTAAAAATATCATGAGAGATTCTGATGCAGTTCATAACTGGCTTTGTAGGTAATTCTAGACCAAGGTTTTAAACATGTTTTTAAACAATGTTGATGCCTTTAGTAAAATAAAAAATTATACTTTATACTTCATACATACAGTATAAAGTGTTGTTGTTGTTGTTGTTTAGTCACTAAGTCATGTCTGCCTCTTGCAACACCATGGACTGTACCCTGCCAGGCTCCTCTGTCCATGGCATTTCTCTGAAAAGAATACTGGAGTGGGTTGCCATTTCCTTCTCCGGGGAATCATCCTGACCCCACAGAATGGAACCTGCATCTCCTTCATTGGCAGGTGGATTCTTTACCACTAAGCCCCATATAGAGTATAAAAATCTCATATAAAGTAACTCTTTGGAAAGTTCAAGTTATCAATCAGTGTGGCCACACAGCAAGTTGTCCAGAGAATTTGTTTATATCCATTGTCAGAGATCTGCCTTCTTTAGCAAGAATTACCCTTTCTGCCTTGTACCTTCTTCCTTTATGCCCCATATTTTGACAAGTATCTAGTCTTTAATTATTGTAGAGAATGATGATAACTAAAACTGGTAATCCAATAAACAAGGAGGAGTAGAAAAAGGTACCCTCTTGGGCAGTTGTAGTCTTCTGCAGAACACGCTGTTCACAAACAGAGATGGAGAAATTTTGTCCACAATCAGCCTCCATCATGCCTTCTCACAGACCACAGCCTTGTCTCTGCCCCCACACCACAATCCCTCTGCTGGACACACAAGTGCATTGTTTAAAAGAGCAGAAGTCTGGGCTTCCTTGGTGGTTCAGTGGTGAAGAGGCCTCCTGCCAGTGCAGGAAGGCCCCACATGCTGTGGAGCAGCTAAGCCCGTGCGCCACAACTACTGAGCCTGTGCCCTAGAGCCCAGGAGCCGCAGCGGTTGAAGCCCGGGTGTCCTAGAGCCCGTGTCAGCAACAAGAGAAACCACCACAGTGAGAGGTCCCAGCACTGCAACCAGGGAGTAGCCCCTACTCTCCGCAACTATAGAGAAGGCCACACGCAGCAACAAGGACCCAGAACAGCTCAAAACAGGTGAATAAATAAAAATTATTTAAAAACAATAACAGAAATCCTGCAAAAGCTTAGCTCTCCAGCATCCATCCATCTCCCTTCTAGAAATTTCTTCCTTAGTATGAGCAAGCTATCATTCACCTTCTGAACACCAAAAACAGAGCTACCTGCATGAAAACTGTAGGAAGTACAAATCTGATTTTCAGATAAACCAACCTTCAAAATATATATATATTTTTAACTTTGTTATCTGCAACAAGCAAATCGATAAAGAAAATCTTGGAATGTTTTGAGAAGCTTTTTTATCTAAATAAATTTAAAATGCATAAATAAATATGGTATTTAAAAAGAACACTAAATTGAAAAGTATGTTTTATGAATTTTTTTATCTTTAAAGTGTCTCTATGTTCTAAGTTTCTGCCATAATGAGTGAATTTTACATACTGTGACTACTAGAATAATTGGCTTAGTAAAGTCAAATATAATAACTTATTTTTTTCCATTTATTTTTATTAGTTGGAGACTAATTACTTTACAATATTGTAGTGGTTTTTGCCATACATTGACATGAATCAGCCATGGATTTACATGTATTCCCCATCCTGATTCANTTTTAACCACTTTGTGGAGGGTTTAAGTAAAAAATGAGAATCTTGCATACCTGCATTTGCCCTTTTCAATTATAACAAATGTTCAGTATCTCAAGAGAAATCCTCTTCTAACACACACACACACCAGGATAGAATGACAGAATATGAAGAGACACTTAATCTCTTTTCTTACTCTGTTGAGATTTCTGAATCTTACTGTCCTAAGTCCTGCATTCTCAGTGAAACCTTCCCGTATCAGTCATTTCTCTCTTTCTCCCAAATCTATGTCACTTGCTATCTCTAGTCTCCACTTGACAATTCTGTTTGCCTCTATTTTTTTTTAATTTATTTATTTTTTATGGATGGATAATTGCTTTACAAAATTTGGTGGTTTTCTGTCAAACCTCAACATGAATCAGCCATAGGTATACATATATCTCCTCCCTTTTGAATTTCCCTCCCATCTTGCTCCCCATCCCGCCCCTCTAGGTTGATACAGAGGCCCTGTTTGAGTTTCCTTAGCCATACAGCAAATTCCCTTTTGCTATCTATTTTACATATGGCAGTATACATTTCCATGTTACTGTTTCCCTACATCTCATTTTATTTTTGACTTTCATCTTTTTATGAATAGTATCTTCCTAGCCAAAGTTTAATATGTCTTGAGAGCAGGTACCATGTCTTGCATTGTAATGCCTTATACTTATTTCCATTTATCAATCTACTATTTCTGGTCTTCTGGTTGAAGGCTAGCATTCAACAGACATTTAGCATGGTGCTCCACAAGACCGAGTCAACCAATTAACTCGTAATATTGTATGTAGTAAACCAAAAGAAAAGTCGTGAATGAAACTGGTTCTTTTCCTAACACAGTACCTGCCTTAGCAAAATGGCTATTCTGTCACTAAAACTCAACTGTTTCTTTTTCCCTCAACTTAGAACTACTTCTGCAGTAGTGGTTTCTGTAATATGTAGGTTTTTATTATGGAAAATATGTCATTTTCCTTTCTTGGAGGGTATCTTTGAGTAGTGTGCATGTCTCATTTATGAAAGAAAGTAATATTTCCTAATACTGAGGCTAAATGCTTGGAGAATGACATAGGTGAGACTAGTAACTGTGATATAGGTAATATAATTACATTCAGTGGCTGCAAAAAAAAAAGGGGGGTGGGGGAGAAGAAGGTCAAGGGACAAAGGGAACCAAAAAAGGCATTGAACGTTCCAGGAGACCAGTGAGACAGGATTGATGTTTCAACCATAACCCCTTTCTGGAAACCTAATGTATATTTTCTATTACTTATTTCTGAATTATTACATCAATTCCAAATCATTTCCAAACATGCTTGTCACTTCCTGTTGTTTTATTGTCTGTCCTGAAATCCTGGCTGCACAGCACAGCTTTTCAAATTAAACATTTTCTACCTTCCAGTTTCATTCTCAAGCATTGTCTCAGTATTTTGAGTCATCTAAACACTATCATGCCAACAAGCAGTGAAATTTGTCTAGTTTTCTCATTACTTATAAAATGATCTTTGTACAGAGTATTATTTTAACCTGGAATTGGCACACAGGAAAAAGAAATTCACAGAAGAAGAGGGAAGGGGTGAGGTTGAATCCAGATGCTATCTTAATGCTATTTTGAGAGCTTCGAACATCTCGGTGTTACTGTCATATTCTGTGGGTGTTGGTAAAAAGGCACCTTGGTACCACTTTGGAGGGAAGTTTAGTAAAACCTAGCAAACAAAACACATGCAGTATACCCTTTGATCCAGGAATAATTCTACTTCTAGAAATTGCAGATCAGCTCATCATGAGGTTCCAAGAAGGCAGCATTGCTGGTAGTAGCAAAAAAAAAAAAAAAAAATGCCTTGAAAATTCATTGTGATTGGTTTGCTACCTAAAGGATGCTTCATTCCTATACTGGTATATTATACAATCATAAATAAATGAGGTGGCTCTATATGTGGAGATATGGGAGGAGTCCAACCCATACTAAATGAAAAAAGTTGCATGCAGAAGGCTGTGCAGCAAATCACAAATATATATATATATATATATATATATATATATATATATATATATATATATATATA